ACACCAATTTAATTTGTTGGTTCTCGGATTCCCCTCTTCATTTAAAAAAAAACAAAGATTCTGGTTTGGAATTAAGTAAAAAAACATTTTGCCCCCAACTGTTGAGGAAAGTCCTTTTCTTCCTACACTTTTTCCATCTATCAATGCAGTGGTTTGATTAAAAGCTCAAAATTCATTGTTGAAATTTCAACCCAGCCTTGTGTTGACTTCGTGGCTCTTATCTAAGCATTTGGGGCTATAATAGGATGCCTAGACCTGTTTTTATTTATATTTTTCGCCCTGTCGCTTTATATTTTTTCTGAAAAAATCCGAGAACCAACAAATTAAATTGGTGTGGCCTAAAGACAGTGGTTTTCAGTAGAAAGAAACGTGTGCGACAGTAACAACCACCTATACCAAACAAGGCCGTTTACTAATGACAGTAGGCTTCCAGGAGCTCCTTCAAATTCTGCTAGGAGAATCTAATACCAGGAATTAGGGACTAAGTGGGTGTCAGCTATTAGTCTAAGAGTAATTCTTACATTTAGGTGACAAGGACAACATTATGAGCTCAACAACAACAAAGTTAGCCAAGGTCTTCAAACGGGAGTAATTAGCTACTGAGCTATCTTCAGACATTAACGATATCCAATGCAATTTGATGGCGGCACTTAACACGTTTTCATCATTTTTACCTCCATGAAAAATGGAGGTATTGTTTTTGGTGCAAATGATGAGCTAATTTGCATAATTGATGTGAAAATGCTGTGATTCCTCATTGGTGAATGATGGGAGTTTTATACCTTGTGACATGTGTAAGTTACTGAAAGGTTAACACCACTATGCATATATATGTTAATGTAGAGGTCATTTGCATAATTAATGGGGACATGTTGAAATGAAGTATGACAAAGAAATCCTGAAAAGTGAGATTTGATGGAATTGCCTTGCCTGTTTTTGGATAATAGTAGGCTAAGCCTTCAATGCATAGAACCACCTGTAGTGTCCCTTATAATGTGTGACAGAGCTTTAAGCTTCATACAGCCATTTCTCATAAAGTTGGTGACAAGTAAAGTCCAGCATGGTACACGTATGTCCCTGACACAGAAGTCCTTAATACAGTACCACATCCCTGACCTCACAGCAACAGATATATCTTCCCACAATTGTCCCTCCTACGCACACCTCCCAGAGTGCCCAGAGAGATTTAATACGGCCGAGGGTTACTCCAGGACATTGTGCCAGCACACACTAAGGCCACAGCAAGTAAATTTTATGGATGACATCCTCCGCAGACTCTTAAACTAATGCAAGAGGGGAAAAAAACAAGGTGGGCCCCCCCAAAAAAAGATTCCTATATTTTGAAATTTTGACATCATAAACCCTGTTTAAACAAGAAATGATACCTATATGGTGCTAACTTTACTGCCAACTATCACAACATCCATTTGTCACTGAAACAACTTTGAAAAAGGAAAGTTTTCAAGCATTGTACAAATGGTTTTGATTCCGTGGGAACATACATGTACAAAAGGAATGAAATACATAAGTCATCACTGCATCAAGGTAAAAGTCAAAACAATAGATCAGAGCCTTGTCTTGTCTCCTCTCTTCATGTTTATCTGCCATTCACATTCCAGCATGGCTAGGCGTGCCATTTTGCCCATTTTCGGCATGTTGACCAAGGCAAAGGCCAACAAAATTTCTTGGGTTTTTTTTTTCCAAAATCAGGCAAAAATCAATGCGCGCGCTGATGTCATCCATAAAAATTACTTGGTGTGGCCTAATGTAGGACCGCCGACACATCACACAGAGCTGTGCTAATGAACGGGTCAATCTTTAAAGGGAATAATGGAGCCGACGTATGGAAAGCCGTGGTAGTAATTTTATCCATACTTAATTAATGATAAGGTTGCCGCCTGGCCAAGCCTTGTCCTGTATGTATGTATGTGTGTGTGTGATGGGGTGAGAAACTTTGGTGGATACTCCAAAAAAGCAGTTACTCAACAGTAGTACAAAATCCTTTTTTGAACCAGGTTTCCCAGTGGGCAACTTAGGGCAAAAATAAGGTTGCCTGTCAGAATTTTAGGTTGCCCCACCTATAAGTTACTAGCACTTTCCTCAAATTAAGTTATGTTATGGTACATACATATTAAGCCTTTGACAATATTTCTAACAGCCTTTAGTTAACTGATACTAGTAATAGCCATTAATACCTAAAATTAAAAAGCATCTGCCGGATACAGTGGTGCAAGCCAAGTGGGAAATTCTTAAAATTCAGGTAGCACACTGGGCTACCTAGGTTCAAAAATAGGTTGCCCCCAAAAAATTTGGTTGCCCGGGGCAACTGGACAACCAGGTATTTTGCACACTGCTCAAGCAACTGGATATGATTTTGGAAACGGTCAAACTTTTCTGCTAGCAACGTATCAATTGAAATAATTTTTGCTTATAAACCTGCATTTCTCCTCTGGTCTCTCAGTCACTGACGAAAGCTAGTGGATACTAGCTAGCTGAAACATCTGACCGTTTTCAAAATCATATCCAGTTGCCTGTCAGTAACTGCTTTTTCGGCGTATCGTATTACCTGGATGTCTAACCTTCATCGACGTACTTTGGGAGATACTGCTGTGTTGGTGGGACAACTATCTCTTAACGTACTTACTCTATTATTGACAGATCTACAGACAACGTTATTGGGAATATCCTGTCTATTAAGGCGAGACCCGTTTTACGGGACAGGACAGTGTTCTAGCCAGCCTGATTGTTTTTTCTGTCATCATTGCAATTTTGTTTGACATAGCATCAAGTTGAGCAAGGAAGGTGCAACAATCATACAGAACAAGCAGCACTTTAATTATGGAAAAACACTTTAATTATGGACTCCTCGCTAATAACTCTAAATTGCTTTACCCAATTAGGTTTATATTTTTTCTGAGTACATAGTAGAAGGTGACAAATATGTGGAATGTGTTAATTAGTCCCTAGGGTATAGTCCAATTATACATAATTATACATGATTATACTATATTTATCTATAATC